GCGATACCGTCCTCCATGGCGCTCAGCCACGGTACCAGTGCTTCGGTATCGTGTCCAAAGTCGACTGATAACACTCTGACTTGTATTCAGAGCTAAAGCCACAGTACGTTGCCGGGAACCAGCTTCTATCATTCCCACGGCTCTGAGCATTTCTTCCCTGCTTAAATGACGTCGCCGCTCCATAATAACGTTGGTTTTAATCAGTAGTAGGGAAACAGTAGCACTAATAATGTCTTCAATGCGTTGTATGTTTTTATAGGGAAAATATTGACAGCTGATTTTCATCTTTTACTCGAATTTGATTCACAGTTCCTGATTCAAATTATGAAATGCACCAAAAAGGATCCATATAAATTTATAAAATCATAAATTTATTACAAAGCCACATCTCAATCTCAAGAAATCCGCATAAAAATGCTTGATCCCTAGACACTTTTGATGTGTGTAATTTAAACCAAAAGGAGTTTTTATATTCATTAGATATGAGACCGTATCGACTGTGTTTTAGTGCTTCAATGTCCAAAAATTCAGAAAGCAGTTCGAGTTTAGATACAGAACGGTTTGTACCGTTACGAAATGCGAACTCTTTCCACTGGCTTTATGAAATAGGCGTAAGTTTGTTTAAAATTGTGTAAAAAATCTCGAATGAATTCCGTTTTATTTTGGAGCGACTCTACAACCGTGTTGAGTTGGATTCGTAGTGACGCGCGGACATTTAAGCCATTTGTTGCCAATCGCGTTGGCGAAATTACTGAGATTTCCAACCCCAAGGACTGGAGATATGTGCCCGGTGGTTTAAATGTCGCTGACGACGCAACAAGGTTGAAGAATAACGGCACTGACTTGAAGCGATGGCTCCTTGGACCTGATTTTTTACTGCTGCCCGCTACTGAATGGCCCAAGGAACCATCAGCACCTGAATCCTCCATTGCTTTAGAGGAGCTGAAGCCCTGTAAAGCAATGATTGGACTAACGCAACTGGCTCAGTTACCTTCACCGGTGACTCCAGAACCCACACGTTTTAGTATGTGGTTACGGTTCGTACGCGCGACCGCACGCACTCATCAGTGCGCCTTTAAAGGACATTGCTCGTTCCCCATACATTGAATGCCCTAGAACGCCCAGCAATGAGAAAATGCTAGTTGTGTTCGGAATCATTCATAAACTCTATATAGGCATTTGTTGAGATACGGACAACTTGAGGAACCGTGGCCTACTACAGAATGTCTATTTCAGAAATAATCTTTTTATAAATATAATACTAGTAATAAGTATTATTAACTAAGGTATCTCTATTTTTCTTTTGATAATTTACCTATGGTCGCCTCTAATGCATATATTAAGGTAAACAATCTTGGCACAACTTTTTAACAGAATCACCCATTTAATAATAAAATATTAACGAAGCCAATAAACTATTAAAATAAATCGTTATTATAGACTGAAACCTTTTGAACCCAGTTATCAGTTGATTTTTAATGCTGTTTTTTCAATAAAAAGGAGTGCCAAGTTGGATGAATAGAATGTATACTAGTAACAGAACTTTATTTTTTTAAACAGATTGTCCATTTACTATGATTAATTGCTAATATGTTAAAAAAATAATAGAAAGATAATAGTGAAGGACATTCTTTTGGGCATGCTAGGGCCGATTTCGTCGATGTCCTTTCGGTCCTTCTTGAAAAGTTTACGTCCAAATTCAAAATTACCACTTAATCAATCTTCTACCCCCTTAGCGTTTCCACCTCTTACCGCTCTTGACATCCAGAATGCAGAAAGAACAATATTTCGAAAGTCGCAGATTGACAGTTTTGGCGAGGAAATACGGCTCCTGAGAAACTCCAAGCCATTACCCAAGTCGAGCAAATTATACAAACTATGCCCCGTGCTTGACAAGAATGACCTCCTGCGTTTAGACAGTCGAATTCAACGCATGGAAGACCTTGAGCATGATATTGCGTCACCGATTATCCTGGATGGTCGCCACCCAGCTGTTCGTCTGCTCATCCATCACTTCCATACCAAGGCTGCACACTGCAACAACGAGATGGTGTACAACGAACTAAAGCAGCACTTCTGGATATTTGGATGCCGAAACGCGATCAAAGTTGTCGTGCAAGCGTGTCAAGCCTGCAGAAAACGCCGAGCAAAACCATGTTATCCACCGATGGGCGACCTTCCTTCTGTTCGCCTTGATCACCACAAGCGTCCTTTCACCAACGTGGGCCTTGATTATTTCGGTCCTATCGATGTCACCATTGGTCGTCGCAGAGAGAAACGGTACGTCGCGTTGTACACGTGCATGACAACACGCGCCGTCCACCTTGAGGTCGTAAACTCGTTCTCTTCCGACTCAGGCATTTCAAGTTTACGAAAATTCATCGCTCGTCGGGGAGTGCCGTCGAAAATCTTGAGTGACAATGGTACGGCCTTTGTAGGAGCAAGCCGCCAACTCAGAGAATTTTATGGCCAAGCTGTGGAGGACTTTGCTGCCAACACCAAAATCGAGTGGTGCTTCATACCTCCAGCCTCACCTTTTATAGGCGGTTGCTGGGAAAGGCTGGTCCGTACCATCAAGACAGCGCTCTCTGTGACCCTTAAAGATAGAGCCCCAAAAGAAGAGCTGTTGACAACGCTATTGTTAGAAGCCGAAGCTCTCGCAAATACGCGTCCTTTGACGTACGTCACGCACGACAGTACAGTAGAAAGTTTGACACCCTTTCATTTCCTGATTGGCGCCTCCTCAAACCAGCAACTGCCTTACCCATTGGATGACGGTGTTTTCCACCACAGAAAAGAATGGCTGAAAGCTATACGACTGTCAGAACATTTTTGGAGAAGGTGGCTGCGGGAGTATCTTCCGAATCTACGACCACGTCATGCTCAGAATGCTCACGAGAATCTTGCAGCTGGTGACGTTGTCCTCATTGTGGATTACCAAGCACCTCGAGGAGCCTGGCTTTTGGGGCGCATTTTGCAAGTATTTCCTGGAGCAGACGGAGTCGTTAGAATACAGACGTAGAAACCAAAGGTGGAACGCTAAGGAGACCTGCAAAAAAGGTCATTCGCCTTTCCTCCCACCAAATGGTGTAGCTATGCTACACGGGGGGACTATGTTGCGAATTCTTGTGTATATTATAAAACAATATATTTATTGTTTTATAATCTTTTTGGTTTAAATGTAAGAAGTAATCTTTTTTTTGTTAATCTCTAATAATATTGTCTTTTCTTTTTTTTTTGCACATTATTACATATGTCAGCACTGGATTGAGCACTACTTATTTTTTTCTCTCCTTTTAAGCTATCGAAATTTCCTTCACACACACATTTTTTTTTCTTGACTTACTTGATTGACTGCTTACAATTTTAATATTTCTAAGATGACTTTCATCAAACTAATCCGCTTCTATTTAAAAATTTATTCTTGGTAAATAATTTTGCTGATTCTTGGTTGATTCTAAGAAAAGTATACTTAATTATATATTAAATATACTAGCGGCTCGTCCCGACTTCACACGGGTGTATAAAATACTATGGAAATGAAGATGCAAACAATGAATCAGCAATCACTGATTTTTCAGTGTTTTTAGGTTTATAGGTTGAATATCTTTTTATCCCGGAATTCCCAAGGGAACGGGAACTCCGCGGGTAAAACCGCAGAGCGCAGCTAGTATTAACATATTTGAGCAAGTTTCAAAGTTGTTAAGCTAGCCAAACTCATTTTCTCATACAAACTTTGAACCCCAATATCACCCAATTCACGGTGCAATATTCAAAAATCCTTCCTCAATTGATGCCTACGTGATTTAAACACACTATTTTCTAAATATCATGTCTCTACGACCAAAAGTGTAGGCGTGCGTTGAAGCACTATTTATAACTTTAACATGCCATATCTTTCTTTTATGAGGGTAGTTTTGAAAAATGAAAACACAGGTAGCATTTTTATTTTATAGAGAGTAGGTGTTACATTTGGTTGCATACAAACCTTGACACGACATTTTTTGAGGTAGTTATAAAAAAATTATGGAACAGGCTTAGTGTACATCTATTAAATAATTTTTACGCAAAAAAAGGTCCAAGAGATAAGATTTTATGAACAAATGATTTTTTGCAAATTTTACGCTTAAGGGCCAAAATAAAAAAAAATCCCATCGTATTATTTGTCTAGGCAATAATAGGAACCTACTGTCCAAATTTCATCATTCTAGGTCCAGCCGTTTCTGCTGTGCGTTGTTGTATCAATCAGTCAGTGTATCCTTTTCTCTATTAATAGTATATATGGGATGTTTTAACACAAATATATCAATTGTTCTCGGCTTTAGTATTAAAAATATTCAAGCTTGTGTCAGAGCGAATACCGGATTTTTTTACCAATAAATTCTATACAAGATAAAAAGCAAATCTTCCAAACTGCAGAGAGTCTATTAAGTGAACGATTTAGCCGTACCACCTAATTTTAGCTGAAGTGAAAACCGACTATTTCTGTGACCTAGATCTCTGCTAGATTTCCGCAGATACTCTACTGTACTAGCCTCAGGGTTGTCTCGAAACTGTGCAACTGTACATCAAAGTGCTATATGGGTATACGAAGTGCACATATATAGCTCGTGTTTGCTTCTACATTCCTTGTTATATAACAGTGAATGACCAACTTTTAAATTTATGTGTAGAAGTACACGGTCCATTCGCAAATTGCAGATTCGCTTTCAAAATAGATCTAAAATAATCGTGTCCCTTAAAAAATACTTTTAGCAGGCATTTTAATTAATGCGTTTTTCTAACTACATTAATTAATTAAGCTATAAAAGTAAAAGCTCCCTGCTTCCTCTTTCGTACTTTTTTAATTCAACTTGGCTCGAAAATAAATAATAGCCGTTCCGTTTCAATTGAATGTTTATACATACACAGACACACAAACACACCTCCATTTCAACAATACAAACATTTTCTTGCATTCAGTAAGAAAGTAAAGCGATATATCGAACAATGCCGTGACCCAAATACAAGAAACGCGAAAACGTGACTACGCAAAGCAATGAACACGTAAAACGGACTCTAACGCTGTAAGATAAGCCCTTACACGTTTACATCACTACAAAGCCGTTCGTATAGCAAAATCCGATTCGTCATAAAAGTATAATAATAGTGGGTCGTGGCGCGGCAACAACAGCCGGTGACCTACCAGCGCGCGCCGCCACGGCAGTCTTCGGTAGAGCTTTCTAATGACCTCAGGCGTTCTCTGTTGCGCGCCAAACTCAAAACCTCCTGAAACTGTTAAAAATATATTCAATTTCCACTCGTATATCGCGAAGTGTTACAAGACAAGGACAGCCGCGCTGCCTGCGACGCATGACGCGAAAATGGACCCTAATGCTGACGGAATAGCGTATTATAATTAGTTAGTTGCGCATGTTGGCGCAAAGAAAAGCTAAGGTAAGTGCATAAACATTTCATTTTTATTACTAATTGTTGCATGTTACTTGAAATAAGCGAGATATTTGCGTAAGTATTTGATGTTTCATTATTTGCATTAACTGTGTGTTGTGAGGTTGAAATGGAGTTATGTGTTTTAATGCCTTGATTTTATCTTCATATTTGATCCTCGTGTGCGTGTTTGTTATAAAATTCGACTAATAACAATATGTATTCTTAATATTCGTGGAGTAAATTAAGTGGGGCACCGAAAGCTACTATTTGCTAAATTGAACAATACATACTAATTGCATGTCATTATCCGACTATACTTTAGCTAAAACAATGGTTGTTCTATATGTTAGTATAATAGTTATAGCGATCAGATTAATATTAAAACTGGGATGCTGTTTGTTTGTAAATCAATCACGGCGCGGCGGTTGATCAACAACAGATTATATTTGGAATAAACACAGAGATTTTTTGATTCTTGAACTTGTTTGGCGATTTCCTTTTATCCTCAAGATCAAGCAAAATTTGCGGTGAGAGCAGATTCGTTTGCAATAAAAATTACTCGGGAATAGAATATCTTACTTTTAATCATTTAGCATCCGTCAGACAAATCTTTGAGATATAGCCTCTACTGCACTAGACTAGAGACGATTTCGTCGCAGCAAGCAAACAAGAGCAGTTAAATAATGGGATGGTATTGTATTTGAATCAATACTCATTAAATGTTAAATGCTAAATTCCGTGCTAGCCTTTATAATTATAACTTTATTACTTAATCGCATATTAAGTGATAAGTAACTTCCGATGGTGACAAAAGAAATTGAGTATCACTCCTTCTTGTAATTATGTCAGTTTAGTGTAAATTAGACTTTGACAATTGAAATCGAACGGCAGCTGCATGGGTACCTAATAAACCTTTACCAATAGATGGACTTGCGCTGTTACTTAAGCCCTTAGTACCACACAATAAAGGCGATATTAAGTAGTCACGTCCGCCGTGAATATAGCAGTACAATAGTTACACACTAATAAACAATTATACATAATTATGAAAACAAAGTTAGTGACTACCGATACTAATATAATATTTAACTAGTTTCAACAAAGCAGTGTACGAGTACGCTGTGATTGCATATCTCACAATTATAAAACAATTATGCATTAATAGTTGAAATATAATTAGATACTATTCAATAGTTTTCCAAATAAATGATGCCACTGAACAGCTTTAGTCAATGTAGAACTCAATAAACTTATTCTGAGCCAAAATAAGCAGATTGATAACTAAAGACAAAAATAAAAAGTCTTTGAATGTGAAGAGTCAGTTTCCTAGAATGAAATTGATAGCATCGTTAGCTAATGAAAAGAAACATCAGCAAAGGCACTAAAAGCGAAATCTAATCCTAGAATTAAAATAAAACCAAGAGAGGATGCTTATGATTGCCGGTTGGAACAAAGGCAGTGATCGTTTTCTCTGTTTTAGATGTTTGAATTTCAATCCTGTCAGAAACATTTTTAGGTTTGTTTTTGTATTATTTATTTTCTCTGTTACAATACTATATATCCGTTTAATCCATAATACGGTCGTATTCATATGTAGATATGTATAGGATATTGCTTTTATTACGTTGACAATAAGAGAGAGATCCGTGTCGTATTTCGAGATCCGAATCGCAGCTCGCTTGCTTTGTGACTGAATATTTGATAAGAGTTTTCCGGAGTTATTTAATTATTTATTTCTATTAATAATGAACTCTTCTTCTAATATAGCTGAGCTATTTCACAGAATGAAATCTTGCAGGCATAGCTTTGCTAATAGAACTACTAATAGAATAAACTTTGACTCGATACAATTAACTAGAAGTAAATAAGGATTTAATCGAAAGCATAATCCCTAACGAATTTGACAAAAAAAACTACTAGATTTACTTAAATTTACAATGTCACATGCGTTATAAACTTTTGATCAATATCGAAATTGCCACGAGTCAACAGACACATCAAGTTACGTTATGCAAAAACCAATTTTCACATACTCTGTTTTTTTTGGGTAACTATCTAAGGAAAAAAATATATGTTATAATAAAAACAAAACACAAAGTATTCCAAATAGTGTGTATATCAATTTATAAAAACAGTTGCTTAATACTTAGTTTGATATTAAAAGTATGTTATGTTTGTATCGATCAAAGAATTCAATTAGCATAATTTCACAACTTGGAACAACACAGCAGTTATTTATTTTCTCTGTAAAATTATATAGAACTTTTTTCTTTTACAAAAATAATGATCCGGTACCTCAAACCAATAATTTGTTCATAAAATCACATTTTACATCTCAGGAGATCGGTCGGCATACTATTCTACATTTTCTCTCGGTAAATAATAGGCGAAGAAGATTAACATAATGACTTTGTTTTTGTTTCAGATTTAAGCACCAGTAAAATGTAAAATATGTCAAGTAAAATGTAACTATGAAAAAGGCTTTATATTTCGAAACAACGAAAAATGATTATGATGCTTTGCAAATTATTTCATTATTACTGGTTTTACCCTCCGTTTTGCGAGCTCAAAATACCCTGGGGTGCCCTGACTTAATAAGAAGCAATAAATGTTCGTGTTATACGTTTGAGGATGGTAAGATATATTTTTATTAAAGCAAATGAAAACTTCTCTACGTGGGTACAAATTAATTTGACATGTCTTTACAGGGCTGTTTGTTGATTGCCAAGATTCCATTATAAAGGACGTAAAAAATGCCATTAAGAGTACGTCAAACATAAACTCGTTGTCTGTTTACGATCTCGATGACAATGAAGAGAATTTGGGAACCCATTTTATACCTCAGGGCGTTTGCATAAAACACATACACATGTCAAGAACAAGCATACAGGATATAGCTGATGACACTTTTATGCCGCTCAGGAAGTGCCTTGAATCTTTAAGCATTGTGTCAAGCAAAATCAAGTTTATACCACAAAAATCTTTATCTGGCATGCTCAAACTGATGTCTATCGATTTAACTTCTAATTACATTGAAGATATACCCAGTTACAGCTTTTATGGTCTTCCGTTAATTAAAATCAATCTTAAAGGAAACTTAATACGTGACGTAGCTGAATCTGCTTTCTCAAGCTTAGAACTCACATTGTCAGAAATCGATTTAAGCGAAAACAATCTTACTATGTTTCCAATTGAAGCTCTTGCTAAATTAAGACACCTTCGATCCTTAAGGTTGGCTTGGAATGAAATTTCTTCTTTCCCTACCATTGAGAATTCAGACTTGATATCCTTAGAGTACCTAGATTTAAACTCTAATAATTTTGAATTTATTTCAGAAGACTGCCTTAAATTTTGTCCGTCCCTAACAATGTTATCTTTTCACTTTAATTTCATTAACAACATACATTATCGAGCATTTTATTCTTTAGTCAACTTGAAATCTGTAGATTTAAGTCATAATAGGATAAAAATATTGAACCCCAACCTCTTTCAGAACAATAAAAAAATAGCATTTATTGATTTAAGTCATAACCACTTACATCATATTCACGGTTTATTTTGTAATCTACCATCACTTATAGAAGTAGTTCTAAGCCATAATAATATTTTGGATGTGCCAATTGACTCTTTTCTTAATTCTAACAAAATTAGTGTTATACATTTAAATAGAAATTGCATAAGTAACATACATAGTGAGAGCTTTAGTAACTTAGAAAACTTAGCAGAGCTACAGTTAGATTTTAATTACTTAAATCAAGTGCCATATAATATTTTTATACACAATAAAAATATAGTTAAAATAAGACTAGACAATAATAACTTTTCTCAACTAAACAATAACACATTGGGATCCCTTAGCAATTTAAATGAAATTAGGCTTAATAATAATAAACTCAAAATAATATCAAAGTATTTCTTTAAGAATTGCTTAAAAGTAGAAGAAATACATTTGAGTCATAATGAAATTAATTTTATTGAACCAGGAGCATTCGTACGAATGAAAAAGTTAAAATATCTTAGCTTAAATCATAATAATCTTATCGACATAAACGATGTCTTGCCAAAATTGGGCTCAAATTTGCTTACCTTACATTTAGATTCAAACGTTTTATCATTTCTTAGTAACTTTATATTTCAATCACAAGAAAAACTAAGCCATTTAACTCTAAGAAATAATCGTTTGAAATTTCTAACAAAGAATACATTTAGAAATATGAGTCGAATAACACGTCTAGAAATTAATAATAATGAGTTGTCTATTCTCGATGACTTTTCATTCCAACATTTAAATTCAACAAGGTACTTGAGTTTACAATTCAACTTTTTGCGCAATATAACTAACTATACTTTCTTTGGATTAAGTGAATTAGAAGACTTAGACCTATCACACAACAAAATATTATATGTTTTCGACATGGCTTTTGATACTCTGAAAAAGCTAAGGAGTCTTAATTTATCTTTCAATTCATTAAAGTTTCTCCAAAAAAATATATTCCAGCAAGGTTTACCTCTAAGCTCGTTATACCTTGATAATTGTGAAATCAATTATATTTCAAACGACACATTTCTTGGTTTGAATAATCTGAAAACCCTGTCATTAAAAAATAATTCCTTAAAATCAACAGATTTGTTAGCTATCAATATTCCAGGGCTTAAATATTTATATTTGTCTTTTAATGTTCTCGACCTCCTACCATTAGAATCATTTTATCGTCTCCCTCTATTAGAAGTTCTATTCTTGGAACACTGTAATATAGAAAACATTTTAGAAGGCACTTTTAAATTTAATAAAAATCTTTTAAGACTGAACGTGGCACAGAATATATTCAGCTCAGTACCTCCAACATTATTTGACATACAAAACTCGATTATAGAATTCAATATAAGTAACAATTTCTTAGATTATGTACCATACAATACTTTTCATAATTTAACATTAGTTGAAACTTTAGATATTGCTGACAATCTTTTACCTAGAATCGAATTAAGTGGTTTAGAGAAAATCACACATATAAAAAACTTAATTTTAAGAAAGAACGAAATAAAGTCGATAACAGCTAAAAAAAAGGTTATGTTTATGGATCTTATTTCTTTTGATATTAGTTATAACAGGCTAGACAGTTTACCATTCACGGTTTTAGAGACATTTCCAAATATACAAAATCTAAATATTTCCCACAACGACATAGTTTATTTTGATTTTTTAATTACTTTCAAGATATTTGGAAATACTTTGATAAATCTAGATATAAGTAAAAATCCAGCCGTATCGTGGACTTCCCTCAGAAGGCCAGATAATAAAACTATGCTCGCTAATATATATGAGTTACACATTAGTTCCACGAATATGTCGAATATTGACGATATAACATTTGAATTTTTCACAAGCTTACAACACTTATACTTAACTTTCAATAAAATAAGACGGCTGGCGATCAGTCCCTTTTCAAAGTTACCTTTTTTAGAGAATTTAGATTTAAGTTATAACAAGATTTCCCAACTTAAAACGAGCAACTTCCGAGGCCTCACTAAATTGAGAACATTATGTTTATCGAATAACAACATAGAGTCGATGGAATCTTTTGCTGAAGATTTGAGCAATTTAAAACTTTTAGACCTTTCTCACAACAAGTTACAAAATATTTTAAATGAAGATTTAATAAATTTAAAGGAACTATCTGTGCTGTACTTAAGTTATAACAATATAAAATACGTTTCACTGACAGCTTTTAGAAATTTAAATAAAATTCTACAGATAGACTTAGGTTATAATAAACTTCAAAGTATACCTCCAGAATTACTTACATCCATAGAAAACCACGTTGAAGATATGTCAATTAAAGGTGGGTATTTCGTATTCTTATTTTAAAAAATGTTCTATAATAATAAGTTTCATAAGAACATAAATATTTATAAACCTAAAGGACTAGATTATAAACCTAAAGGAAAATTTACTATTTTTCCGCGTGGAATTTTTAAGGTAACGTTTAGTTAAAGCTGAAATAAAAGTTACAGTTAAATACCTAAAATAATGTTTTTGTTTATGTGAAAATGAAAACAATCGAGCGTATGGTCCTCCTAATGGTAAACGGCCATCATAGCCTATAGATGCTTGCAATACCAAAAATATCACTAACACCGTTGCCTACCCTGATCCAATCCCTTACCCCGTGGTGCTCTGGAACCTTACTCACCGACAGAGACACAACACCACCAAAGGAAATGCGTGTTATTTTACTGTGATGTCCTGTAAGGTATAAGTCACTTCCCCAGATGGGCGCTCCAATTCGAGCGGATATACTTAGATTGTTTAAGATCGTTGTCGTTTTATATATTTATTTTACTATATGAACAGACGCCCCTTAACTGCTACTATTTATATGTGCAAAAGTGGATCCGCATGGTTATCTGTTACCTGTTTACGCTAAAACCGCTGAACTGGTTGAGATAAATTTTAGAATAGAAATAGTTTGAGTCCCGAGAAAGGAAATACGGTAGTTTTTATCCCAGAAATCAAACTTTAAGGAGTTATTAGGAAGGTGGACCTTTATATGACAAACCAATTTTTTCACGCTCATGTAGTCGCGGGTACCCACGAGTGTTTAAATAAATTTAAAATCAGATAATTATTTTGTGAAATTAATAACATTAGCTCTAAAGGCGCTAATATATATTTGTTCCAGGAAATACCATAATATGCAACTGCCAAAAAGATAACACTTGGGTGTGGATACAGGATCATCCGAAAATCATAAAATCAAACACAGTTACATGTCTCAATAATGAATATCCAAAAGACAAATGTGATATTCCTATCATATCACAATTGTCCGTTGATAAACATAAAGACAATTCCGTATCAGTATCGTGGTTCATCAGAAACCGAACAGCAATTAAGGCCCTCCAAGTAATATACTACGACGAGGACATAAACTTTGAGGTAAGTAATGACTCTTAACTACATTTTTTTTTTAATATAATAGAGACAATTTTCAGAAGGTAGAGGAATATTTTAACATTGGTATGAACAGACAAAAATAAATTGATCAAGTGTAATTTATAGAATCAGCAGCATAATGAAGTGAATGCTTTATCATAATATTAAAATACCTTAAATTATTTCAGATAAAATCTAAATTCTTGGAAAAGAGTGAAGTTTCCACACGTTTAACTGGTTTGGATCTCAATACAAATTACGTTGTGTGTATAATTACATTATACAGAGAGCCTTTGATGAACATGGAGAATGAATCGGAACATTTATTAAATTTAACTTCCGCTACAGATTTGGATTTGAATGTCACTGCAAGAATCACGCAAGATATCGCAGCTGCAATACTTACTCAGGCCCCTTCCAGTGAATGTATTTCCTTTAACACATTTAGAAAGCAGACGACTCCAAAAGTAAAGACAGTTAAACCCTTTGATATATCGTCTATCCTTAATCGACGCATGGGCTTGATTGTTGGATGCTCCTTAGGTTTTGTAGTGTTTTTTATAATGGTGTCAGTTTTATTGTATACTAAAATCAAAGAGAGAAAAAGAATAGCCAAATCTGATCCCACTTGGTCAGAGATGAACGATTTCCATTCTATTCATAGTAAAGAAGACATATTACAAAATTCTACAACAGCTTCCACAGATAATATTTTATTAGGAATGACCAAAAATCGTAAACATTCGTTAGACCACTTGAAGTAGACTTTTAATAGATTAAATTCCAATTTCCTAAAAGTGATACGTAGATGTAAACTTTAGAATGGTTTATTGTAAAGTATTTCTGGTATTCTAAATAATCGTCGAATAATATCATAAAATTAGTTGCTTCAAGTACAACTGTTTGCTTGTGAGTAAGTAGCAAATTAGCTTAGAATGTAGATGGCGTTTATAATAGTTAGGCGTAAACAATGTTAATTTAGTCATAAAATAAATATTCTTTACTTAATAAAATTGTTACAGGAGTACTTGTGTTTTTGTTATTTAAATGTATTTTTTATGTGAAATGATAACTAAAGAAAAAAATACAAAAAATAAACAATTTGGTACTGGTATCAGGCTTAAAATAAACCAGCGCCCTATCGCTCCACACGAATGCAATTGACCATTTTGCGGACACCGTATATTATTTCTAGAATTTCTAAGGCTACAAGGATACACTGATTCTTTAGGTTAGTCAAACTATTTATAAAAGCAAACTAACTTTTTACTTATGAGTTGTATTTTTTTTTCTAAGTAAACATTTTATTTAGATATTAAAATCGAACAATTAAATCTTAACAGAATAAATATGATTTTTCTTAATGAATTTATATATTTTTTTATGTTATTACTACTACAATGTAAGTACATTGATTTAAGAAGTGCAGTTACTCCGTGCCGAAATATCGAGGACTTGTAAAAAACAAGGTACCTACCTATATGGCAGCAATACCGTTAAAAGCATAAATTACTATAATGTTAGTGACCATGAAAGTTCCATCATCTTAGCCCTACAACGCCTACTGATAATCATAGGCCTACGGTGTGGAGATCATTGGGGTAGCCCAATGATCTCCACACCGATCGGTCCTGCGCCGCTCGCATCAATCGGCTTTCCGCGATCCACTTGGTGGTGGCCTGACCACCGAGCGTCGTGCTGTGCATCGTCGCCATTCGAGAACGTTTCCGTCTCAACGGCAATCGGGTTCTCCTCGCCACGTGTCCCACTGCCAATTCAGCTGTGCAATCCTTCGAGCGATTTCGGTTATTTTAGTTCTTCTGCTAATTTCCTCATTTCTGATTCTATCACGCAGGAAAATAAAGGCTATAATTTTTTTTTATTTTTTCACATTGAAACTTTATTCACATAATCAAAACATTACAGAGATACATGTATTTCTATATAAGTGTACTTGCTTAAAACAAAAAAAAAACAATAATAATAACTTATAATAATTTATATCGATATTCAGCAGGTAATAACTTAAATCTACCATGGTCAACTGATTCTGAGCTACGTGTAATTGACAAGGCGACAAGCAAGTCTGCGACGTATTAGCAGAGGCGGATCTCTCTATTTCGGCGCCGCAATTACCGACCCAAGAGAAATGATCTAAATGTCCTCATTTACTATTGACACTTCTATCGTCCCTAACGCCCCTAATGAGCTTATTGGATAAGCTTATTAAGCATTAAGATTAATCGTACCTATCTAGTATAATTTTTCTGACAATACTTCTGTACTTCCTCCTTAATAGTGGAACGTATTAATGCACAGTTCATTATTCACATCGCATAGTATGATATTTGTGATTTGATTAATAACGCAAAATACAGCGAACTAGACTTTATTAAACAGTCCTCCTCGTCTTGCAATGTGGTTCCTTACCGCCATCCCAATTTAAGACGAATATTTGATTATTGCTAGTAGTTCATGCGAATTCTTTTTTAGGTTTCCGTACCCAAAAGGGTATAAACGAAACTGGAAACTGTCCGTCTGTCCTTATGTCACGGATGCTAACTTTGAAGTTAATAACTAAGCAATTTCGTACAACAAATTAAATGTTTAAAATATATCAAGCTTACAAGAAGTAATTTTATTGTTTATTGCTTATTTTTATGCTTTGACGTTAGCGTTGCAAACGTACGTACAGTTTAACTCAATTTTTGACAATCTACATCATGCCGCGTTTAATTCGTGCAAAGAGAGAGGACAACTTATGAAAAGTCATACATAATACCTACATTGTTATGAATATCTTCGTGACATCATTCATCACCATTTGCTGGGAGCTGGGAGTTCTTATGAATTGTAACTCCAGAAAAAAACTTAGACTTGTTTTTCACAACGTAGAGCATATTTTACTTGCGTTAGTAAATATGCAAAACTTTAATTGAATTAGAGTAATACTTGCCAGCCTTTATCCTATGACAGATAATTATCTGAGGTAGGATAAAGGCAAGGCAATGGCAAGTGTTACGTTAGTTAATTTATATAAATGTGAAAGATTGTATATTTATTAGCGATATTTATGTGTGACTCAATCAATTAAAACAAAAAAGCTCTAAAGTAACTTTTAATGTAGATACATTATAATTATAATAATAGTAACATTTATTTCAGATTATTCATCCATAATTTATCCATCGAGTTATATGTTTATTTTTATTATAAATGGCTTCCTTAAACATCAATGTTTATTACCAAAACACTCGGGGACTTCGCACCAAAACAAACATATTTAAACGAGGGTTGCTTATGTCATCTTATGACATTATCTCACTAACGGAAACCTGGCTTTTGGAAGGTTTATACAGTTCTGAGTTATTCGATGACTAATACGTTGTCTGGAGACGGGACAGAAATTACGCTCTAACTCGTGAAAAATACGGAGGTGGCGTACTCCTAGCTATTCGTCGTACCTTGGCAGCCGTAGAACGCCCTGAATGGCGTTCTTCCGCAGAAGATTTATGGGTTACTGTTACACTGAATAGTAAAAATCGTAACACAGATAAGATAAAATTACATATATGTACTATATATCTCTGTAAAGAAAATTTAGGTAATTCCTTCAATACACAACTGCAAAATTTTACTGAAAAGCTCTCTTGTATTTTTGAATCCTGTCCTAATGATCTATTTTTAATTATGGGTGATTTTAACCTTAGCAATGTCGATTGGCGTGGCGAGTTGGAACTTTTACAGCCGGAAGGCATTACGGGTGAAGCACAGACACACTTTTTTGATATTCTTAGTGAATGTAACATCAATCAATTTAATTCCAACAGAAATTGTAATAGTAGAATATTAGACTACGTGTTATGTAATAAGGAAGTATCTGTTACGCCATGCAACGACCCCATAGTACCTGAAGACAACCATCATAAGTCTCTAACTATTATATTAAATTTAACCCAGGCTAACCCATTAAAATCCAAAACTAGGCTGAAATATTATTACGACAGAGCAGATTATTCCTCAATAAATTCGCACTTGAAAAATATAAAATGGCAACATTACTTATATAACAATTCAGTGGAGGAAGCTACTACTATATTTTATGAACACTTGTATAATATTATAGATAAATACGTTCCACACAAGTACATTTTAGATAGTACTTCATACCCACCCTGGTACAATGCGCCTTTGAAAAAAATTCTTAGGGAAAAGTATAAGTATCTTCAAAAGTATAAAACATACGGTAATAATTATGACTATGATACTTATTGTCTTCTTCGAGAAAGGGCCAAAAAAGTTGAACATAATTGCTATCTTGATTACATCAGGCGTTGTGAGGATTTAATAATAAAGCAGCCAAAAACCTTCTGGTCGTTTGTAAGGTCGAAGAATAGTGGCTCTAATACAGTGCCGTCATCATTATGCTATGGGGATAAGTCAGCCAATACTGGCGAGGGGATCTGCAACCTCTTTTCGTCATACTTTCAAACTACTTTTCTTTCTCGGTCCTCCAGTGATAATCAATACGACAATCCGTTTTCTTCTACTTCAACAGATTTTAATAACTCAAACTTTGTTAATAATATTGGTAGCGTCCAAATTGATCCAGAATCAGTCTTAAAATTACTTAAATCCGTTGATCTACATAAAGGAGCAGGGCCGGATAGAATAGTGCCACTATTTATTGTAAAATGTGCTGATCAGTTAACGGAACCACTAGCTATTCTATTCAAACGTTCAATCTCAGAAGGGATTGTACCCCACATTTGGAAATCCGCGTTTATAACTCCAATACATAAAGGTGGATCTAAAAATGAAGTAAAGAACTACAGACCCATATCGAAGCTTTGTATTTTTTCCAAAATTTTAGAACGAATAGTTTATGATCAGGTGTATAATGCTTTGTCGCCGGGGTTTATCAACGAGCAACACGGATTTTTAAAAAGGCGCTCTACTACTTCCAATCTTCTCTCATTCGTAGACTTTACTACTACTAACATGGACTCTGGAGGGCAAGTTGACGCAATTTTCACCGACTTTAGCAAAGCGTTTGACCGGATTGATCACTTAATTCTGCTTCGTAAGCTCCTTCTCGCAGGAATCCATGGTAGCCTCTTTAGATGGTTTACGTCATATATAAAAAATCGCTCCCAAGCGACAGTTCTGAACGGTTTCTCTTCTACCTGGACTCATGTTCCCTCAGGTGTACCCCAGGGATCTTTACTTGGGCCTTTGCTTTTTAATATATTCATTAACGATGTTTTTTATTGTTTCAAAAATTCAAAATTTCTATTATACGCAGATGACATGAAAGTGTTTAAAAGAATCGATTGTCAAAAAGACTGCCAGTTACTCCAGGAAGATTTAAATAGGTTTGAGTTATATTGTTCTTTAAATAAATTAGATCTGAACATATCTAAATGTAACCTCATAACCTTCACTCGTAAACGGAAGCCATTCCGCAATAAATATGTTTTGAAAGGGAGTGAACTGGCGGAAGTTGATGAGATTCGAGATCTGGGTATTTTACATGATTCGAAATTAACATATGAGAAACATATAGACCTTATAACTAAAAAGGCTAGAAAATCCTTGGGGTTTGTGATTAGAGTTTGTTCAGAATTCAGAAACATTAAAGTGATGAAAATTTTATACTGTTCTTTGGTGCGAAGTATCCTCGAGTACGGTTCTCAAGTTTGGAACCCCTGTTATAGCGCTCACATTATCCGACTTGAATCTGTTCAGCGAAGATTCTTAAGGTATTTACAATACAAAAGTAGGACTTATGACTCTAGCTACGAGGAAAGGTGTCGTAGACATCACATCCTGCCCCTGAATGAGCGAAGAAAAATAGCAGATGTATTTCTACTGGCAAAAATCGCTCAATATCTCATTGACTCGCCGGACGCACTAACAAAAATAGGTATAAAAATCCCTAACAAAACCGTAAGGCGATTTGTACATTTAGATGTTCCCCAATGTGGTACTAATTACAGACAAAACTCTTTTTTCGTAAGGTCTGCTAAAGAAACTAACAAATTAGTAAGTTTCCCCCAACTTGACTTATTTATAACTAAACCACAAATACTTAAAAATATCTTAGTCAGTTCTTGGTTTGCTGATTCTCAAACTGCCTAGCTTAATTAGTGCATGCTTTAAGCGTCGCTTGCTGTTATATCTCAATTATCTCTAGTCTTATTACTTTCCTGTATTTTTCACTTGGCACTGCTTGTATGGTTTCAGCGACGAGCTTTGTATTGTTAGTCATATGCGAAAACGTGTTAATGGTGTCTAGATTTACATTTAGTTATAATTGCTGTTAAAAAAAACAC